CTATTAAAAATCTAATAATCTAGGATTTATTATATTGTTTTAATAAATTCTTATATTATATTCTATTTTTTCATATTTATTATAATATTTATTAGAAAATATTATAATATTAGAATTCCTTTCTTTTTAATATTTATTATATTAAATCTAAATATTAATTTTTTATTAAAATAATATATTAAAAGCTTTTTATTTAATAAGTATTTCTTTATATTATAATTAAGTTTTTTTTATATATTAATATTTATTTAATATTTTATTTGTTTTTTGAAATGTATGGTTTTTTGTATTTAAAAATGTATTTTTATAAGCTAATCTTTTTATATTTTTAATTAAAATTAATATAATTTTGAATATAGATATAAAAAAGTTTATTCAATAACAAATTATTTGAGATTTAATTAATATTAATTAAGAAAAAACTTTAATTAGATTATAAAAGATTTGAGAGATTTATTATTTTAGATCAAAAGAGAAGGAAATAAATATACAAATTCAAATATTTAATTTTAAGAATATAGTTTTAGAATTGAATAATATTAAATCTATTCCTTAAAATTCTAATTTTATATTTTAAAAAATAATTGATTTTTTATATACAACTTTGAAAATTATAAAGAATTCAATCTTCAAAATATGATTAATATAACGTGGTTTATCATCGGATCGCCAATATCACCAGATCGCCATTTTTTTCACTATTTAATCATTTCAATTTCGTATTATTCAATAACTATTTAATTAATTAATTGAAATTTTTAAGAATCTAATAATTTAGGATCTATTATACTATTTTAATAAGTTTTTGAATTATAATTAATTTTTTTGTATATATTACAATATTAATTAGAAAATGCTTTCTTATTAAAATTCCTCCTCTTTTGATATTTATTATATTAAATCTGAATATTAATTTTTTATTAAAATAATATATTAAAAGTTTTTTGTTTAGTAAGTATTCCTTTTTGATATAATTGAATTTTTTTTGCACATCAATATTTATTTAATACTTTATTTATTTTTCAAAATATATAGTTTTCTATACTTAAAAGTATATTCTTATAAACTAATTTCTCTATATTTTTAGCTAAAGTTAATATAATTTGAATATAGATATAAAAAAGCTTAATTAATACTAATTTATTTAAGATTTTATTAAAGTTGATTGAAAAAGAGCTTTAATTGAATTATAAGGGATTTTGAGAGATTTAAGAATCTAAATCAAAAGGGAAGGGAGTAGATATATAAATTCAAATATTTAACTTAAAGAATACAGTTTTAGAATTAAATAATATTAATTCAATTCCTTGAAATCTAGTTTTTATATTCTAAAATGTAAATTAATTATTGATATATAGCTTTGAAAATTATAAAGAATTTAATCTTAAAAATATAATTAATATATATCTTAATAAATCCATTAATTTAATTATTATATAAGTATTTCAGAATATTAAAATATTCAATATCAAATAGTTGAATTAATAACTAGAATGTGCTAATAGCTTTACACATATTATATTATTTGCTTTATAATATAATTAAAAAGATATTGATTTATGATTTTTGTGTTATTTAGTATTAATATTCGATATTTGCTCTTTCTTTAATAAATAATATATTTATCGAAATACTTTAATTATTCTAATTCTATTTCATTATTTGTTCATTTATTAGAAATAGATTTGATAATCTAATTTATAAGAAGATTAATTTAGTATATCAATTTAAAAAATAAATTTGTCCTTAAATTATTAGAAATAGAGATATAGTTTTACCCTCTTTATTATTATATATAATTATTATAGCCTATTCTCGATTATCTAATTATATTATCTTACTTCTATTGTTTTATTTAATATTAATTATAATTATATAAATAATTATAATTTCTATTATAAAATCTATTTTATTGAAATTATAGAAATTGCAATCTTGAATATCATATTTCATTTGTATATTCAATATTATTTAAAATCATTTTTTAATAAACTTAGAATTTTTATAAAAAGCTCTTTGAAAATTATAAATATAATTAAAATATATCTTTAATTTTATATAATACTTTATAAATCAATAAGTTTAAAGTTTTCCAACCTTCTTTACCCTTTACAATTTAAAAATATAATTCATTATATCTTTCATATCATTTAATTTAAATATAAATTCTTTATTATTTATATTAATTATATATTGAAAAAGCACTTTTTTTTTCTAATTTAATTATTTTATATTTATTTGCTCGAATTTCCATTTGATTATTTTGATTATTAATTCTATTATATAATATAAATTAAAGTATTAAATAGATTTTTATAACTTTTGTAATTATCAAATTTTTAGATTTTTGAATAATTTTAATAGTTAAAATGATTTAGATTTTTTTTGATTGTATTTCCATAATTATTTATTGAGATATTGTGAATTGAAATTAAAATGATTGAATGATGAAAAAAGTAGCGACCCAGTGATATTGGCGACCCGATGATAAACTATGTTATGCTTTAATAACTTTATCAATTTAATTACTATATAATATTTCAGAATATTAAAACAATCAATATCAAATAACTAAATTAAATAATTTAAATATAATAATAAATATAAATACATAATATTATTCTCTTTATAATATATTTAAAAAATTATTAATTTATAATTTTTATACTTATTTAATATCAATATTCAATATTTACTTTTTTTTTTAATTCTTAATATATTTATTAAAATATTTCAATCATTCTAACCCTATTTTATTATTTATTTATTTATTCAATATAAATTTAATAATTTATTTTATAAAAAAATTAATTTCGATATATCAATTAAAAAAATAAATTTAATCCTAAATTATTAGAAATAAGAGAATAATTTTATTCTTTTTATTTTCATATATTATTATTATAGCTTATTCTCGATTACCTAATTATATTGATTTATTTCTACTATATCTCTCAATACTAATAATAATTCTTATTATAAAACCTATTTCATTGAAATTATAGAAATTTTTATTTAAAATATTATATTTTACTTATATATTTACAATTAATTAAAACTGTTCTTTAATAAATTTGAAATCTTTGCAAAAAGCTTTTTGAAAATTATAAATATAATTAAAATATATCTTTAATTCGATTTAATACTTTACAAATCAATATACTCAAAGCTTTTCAATATACTTTGTATTTTTCAATTCAAAAATATAATTTACTATATTTTCTATTCTTTTATATTTAAATAAAAAATCTTTTAAATCTATATTAAAAATATATTGAATAATAATTTCCTTTTTTAATTCTATAAATTTATATTAATTTGCTTGAGTTTTGATATATAAAATTAAATTATCTATTCTATAAATAAGAATTATATAAGAGATATTATATAATTAAAAAGCTTTTTGAAGATTTAGTTTTTTATTATTTTTGATAGTTTTAATAACTAAAAGCAAATGTGTTTTTTTATTATTAGATTGTATAATAAATAATTAATAAATTGTATATTGAAATTGATTGTATTTGTTGAGGTGAAAGTAGTCTACTCAATGATATAGTTTATTTGATGATAAATTATGTTATTCCTATTTTAATAACTAATTATTATTTTTGAAAAATGAAAGGATATAAAATAATAATAAAAATAAAATATTTCTAATTTCTAATTTCTTTATAGATATTTTGATTACAGCTTAAAATTATTACACTTTACATTATAAAAATCTTCTTTTTTAAATAACTTTTATATTAATTAGAATTTTGAAATAAAAATTAGATTTTTATATTATTTATATAATTAGATACTATATGTTTAATTTCTGAAAAATTATATCGATAAATAAAGAAAGTGCACAGTTACACATAGATGGATTTTATATATAAAATGAAGTAACCTATTTGGTGATATAATCCACTCGTATATGAATCACGTTATTTGATTGATTGTATTTAAGCGTTTACTCTGTGTTGCGTCTGTGGTCTTTATCTGTTTAGAATTAAAGGTTGAGAGAAGCACAGAGATAGAAAGAGATGTTTTTCGAGTTATTTGTCTTTTTAGATTCATCTTTCTAGAGGGTGTGTATGTGATGTGATATCGGTATCCTACATCGTTTCTGTTTCATAAGGGGAAAGAAAGGCAGGGTTGCGAGAACTTGAGTCCATGGTTTATTCATTTGTATCTATATCCGCATCCTCATTCTCATTTATTATAATTTTACTAGGTAGGTAGATGGGTAGGACCTCGACAGATTCTCATATTCATCTCATATTCATCTCCTTATCTATCTATTACAATCTTTCTCAATTTCAGTTTCACTTTCAGATTCAGACTTCTGATATTTCCTTGAATTTTCGCTACATTTTCACTAATGAACGGATACATATATTGTATTTAGGTTAGTATTTAGATATGTAGTTAGATGTTTAGTTAGATATTCAGGTAGGTATGTATTTAAGTATGGGTAATCTAATTTCTAATTACACCTTCTAAATATAGATATAGCACTCAAAGGTTCAACTCAAAGCCACAACTATAACAACAACTACAACTCGAACTATAACCCTCCACCATGAACTATTCTTCCCCTCCCCAAAATCCAATCCTCAAATATCATATCTCAGACTCCATTCAACCTCTAAACCTCTAACTTGGCATCGGAATATATATTTCTATCTAGCCATTCATCTACTCTATCCATGCTACACAATCCCCCAAACTATCTTTCAAGACTGTGAGGTCTTTGTTTCGTAGCCTTAATGTGTGTATATATGGAGATTTCGCTTCATCTGATCTGTAAAGCTTTCTTGAAAGTTCCTCGGCTAGGAATATTGCTGTTTTTGCCTGTCGAGACTTTGGTACTGTTGACCCATTGGCAGATTCCGATGTAACGGCAAACACCCCCTTCACTTTTTCATCTCCATCCCCACCCCCTTCCTCTCTGTCTCCCACTCCTCTTTGCCTCTCCCTCTTCCTCTTCCCCTTTCCCACCCCACATCTCATCCTTATCCATACCTAACCCTCACACCTCCCCTTCCCACCTCCGGAAACGGTAAAAACAAATCTCTCTTTACCTCCACATCTCTCCTATCCGTCTCCACCAGCTCCTGTGCTTCATATCTTCTAAAGATCGTCGCGAGCGTGAGTAAGATTTCGGCTCTGGCCAGATTAATGCCCGCGCAGGAGCGCGATCCCTTGCCGAAAGCGACGAGGTATTTCTCGAGAGTTTTGTCGGGGGTAAGGTTGTGAAGGGGTGGAGTGGTGGAAGAATTGTTGGTGGGAGCGGGAGTGGAAGTAAGCCAGCGGTAGGGATTGAAAGTCAGTGGGTCGGGGAAGATATCGGGGTTTTGGTGCATGTGGACGGAGGTCATCGAGACGGGTGTCTGTGGAGGTTAGCTTCTTATTTTGTTTCGTTCAAGGCTGAAATTGAATTCAAGCATGATGATGTGAGCTAGAAGTTTTTCCTTCTAAACTAAAGGGGTGGAAGGGGAGGATTTTTGAGAATACGTACACCAGCAGGAATCTCCCAATCTTTATACATCATAACTTCATAAGGAGAAATGCGGGGAAGACGAGTTGATATACCATAAGAAAGTCTTTTTGAGTATTTGAGTTAGACGGAGTCCCCAAAGTAAAGATAATGTACTTAGAGAAGAAGAAGAGGAAGAGGAAAATGACAAGGAAGAGAATATATACCTCAAACCTTCGTTAGTAACAGCGTTTAAAAATGGAAGGCCTTCAAGATCTTTCAGACAAGCTCTTGCGTATCGATCCTGCATAACTGATTTTAATTCCCCTCTCAAAGTCTTTAGATGTTGTGGATTATCGAGAAGATGGAAATGTGTGTTCTGAAATTCAACATGTTAGTAAATTGGACATTTATTTTCTGCCTAGTAGATTCTTTTCTCCCTCCCCCTACTTTCTTCCCCTCTTTTTCTTTTCTTCAAATCTAGAACAATGAAAATCACTTACAGTCAACATGTTCGATACCGTGTCGCTCCCAGCTCCAATTAGTGTAAATGCTTCTTCAAATAATCTTTGAAACTCCTTTTCCGAAGGAGGAATTTCATCTGATTCAAGAATTGCATGAACGATTGTTCCTTCAATTCCATTACCTTTATCGGGATCAAATTTGTAGTTACCATCGAGGATGTTTCTGGTGTCTACCTCAATTGCCTAAGAAAACATGATGCGTTAGATTTGTATTTCCTTTCGATTCTCGGTTGTGAAAGAAAAGTGGAAGCGGAAAAGGGGAAGGTGTCAGAGAATACTAACCTTGCGAAAATCCATGAGCATAGCAAAACCAGGTTTGGTGATCTTTAAAAACCATCTGGGAAGTCCGAGAGAAATAGGTAGGAGGATAGGAAATTGTGTTAGGAGGTGGCCTAATTTGACGGTTTCGGCTATGGTTTCGACCCAGAGGGGTGAGAAATTGGGAGAATCAAGATGATTCCAGGAACGATTTAGTGCGTACTGTGTGTGAGAGTTAGTTTATGAGGTTGTTTGGATTTTTTTTAAAAAAAAAATAAGCGTGTAATCAATACCAAAAGGAAAACTTGAAGTACTATAACAATAGAAAGCAATAAAACAAACCAAAGTAATAACATCAGTAATAAAACACTGATAAACAATCCTCATGTCCAACTCCTCACCCTTTTCCCTAAATTCTTCAATTCTTCCACATAATTTGTCAAGCATATCAAGTAACATAGGTTCCAATTTCTTAATAGTTTGCTTTGAGAGATATTTATTGAGAGCAGCGCGTCGTTCTCGATGAAGTTTATGATCTACACTTCCGAAAGCTGAGCCGGGAAGTTGGAAACGATCGAGGAAGTAGGAATACTTGTGACGGACTTTGTGTTGGGAATACAACTCTTCATAGAAAGCGGGATCGTAGACGTGGAGTTGATGGGGAGAGATACGGATGATGGGACCTGAGGGTATTAGTTTGTTAATGAGAAAGCGGTTAAAAGGGAAAGATCATGAGTGAGGCGAGGAATCCAAGATACAGAAATGTATTGAAAGATAGTGGAAGTGGAATTGGAAGCAAAAGAAAAGTAAGATGAAGACATGAATGAACGAAAAGTGCCATGATGCCAAAAAATGGAAGCAACGAATACAAAACGTCTAGAAGACATAAAAAGCAACAATCTGCTCATCAAACACGAAAGATGCTATAACAAAACCGAAAAAACACACCGTAAACCTTGTGCAACTCTCTGATTTTGAACGTAAATTGTCCATCACACCAAACATCATAGTAGAACTCGTACCTGTATCAACACGTGTATTAGTAAATTTCAAAGAACTAAGTCTCACACCACATCTTTTCCAAAGATCCACAACGAAGTAATCTTTCTCTTTCTCGAGGAACTTCCTCTTACTACTCTGAGTCCCATTCAAAGAACCTTCAGTCTGGAGATTTGAAAAACACCAACATACCAAAGACTTGCCGCTGCCAACTTAGGACCTGGAAACTTAGCCAAAGGGCTAAAGTAAAGTCGATAAACCACCAATGTGACCTGATACACCAGGAGTGTCGTGATAAAAATCAAGAGCGAATGCCCTATGAATGGTTGTAGAAGTCCCATTGTTTGGAGATATAAAGTTCTCTTCACCTTTGTGTCTTTCGTATGTATTGAAGAGGTTGCTGATGATCTTGATATACTCAAAGATGAAGGACTTCGTATTGTTATTGCCGTAGTAGTAAGATCCTCCGACCGCAAGAGAAAATTGAGGCACCCCCAATATAAAATTGAAGTCATCTTAATAGGATGAAACCTCACTGCCGAGAAGAGTGAATCCATGTTTTGAAAATGACCGAGGAAAGACGTATGTAAAATCGAGGTGCCTGCGTTGGCAAGATCGAAATCGAATAGAAACTGCAGTATTGAATTTCTTCGTTCGACCGTTGGTCAACCAACAATTCTACCCGACCACCAATATATTGTCAATAAACAAAACAAATTTCTTCAGTCATATTCGCTCAGAAATATATCTCATCTCAAAGAACACTACTTCAACTTCAGCGACTATATATCTTCATCAGTATTCTCCATGGAAAGTGATGATAAGGATATAAAGGAATACAATACCATCAACATTGAAACCTCACCCACATCATTTTCACAAAAAAAGGCAAGAGCGAAGCAAACACACCTGACAACCATCAAATCAAAGATTGTCTGAAACAACACATATCAGAATCAGGAATCAACAATATATATACATACACCAATATAAACCGAACATTCAAACCACACCTCAAGCCATCATCTCACAAGCAGATCCATGCCCCGAAATCCCAATCAAGTTGTCGACTTGGGGTATTTTCTCCCATCATATTCGTATCACCAATATCACACACTCGACACCATGAGACCCGAAGTACGATACCCACCTCAGATCATCACCTCTTCCAGCATCTCCGCCACAATATCCACACACGGATTCTCATCCACCCACCCATTCCGGTAAAGTGACGAAATACAATGAGAAATTTCCCGTCGCATCGGTGCGACATTGGCTTGTCTTGGCATGTGTCCCGAAAGGAAGGAAATGAACTTTCTTCTTCAACAGATCAAATGGTCGTGTACAGCATGCATGCATGTATATATACGCATGAGCATATGCATATGCAGGGTTGAGGTCTTGGAAGAATTCGATTTGGGATTTCTGTTATTGGTGTTCTCATTTGTCACTTATTCCTCCCTAGTAGATTTCCTCTTCCCATCCGAACATTACTGCTCGGCTAATTGGGGTTCTCATCGCATCGGTAGTACAACGACTAGGAATGGTCTTGGCGATGTCCCAATGAACTTTTTGGATATTGCTGGGAGGGGTGAAGGTGTGGATTGTTGAGGGATCCATGGGTGATGTAACCTAATTTATATTCCCAAGCCACGATAATGTAACTTTTCTTCTCCATATGATGAATTTGTGAAGAATGAAGAGAAGACAGATAGTAGAGAAATTAGAACGAGGATGAATTTATTTTCGAATCGACAAACGAAATAGGGGAATTGGTATCTGAATCCGATGGAAAGAAGAATAACAAGATCATGGATATTCACCCATCATTTCCCTCACTTCTCCATACCTCCACTGCTCAATACATATGAATAAACCAAGACATATACAACGACATAGCGTATACAAACAGATCTCGATCCATCCATCCATCCATTTTTTCTTTCTTCCTACATCCATACACACACGTGGTGAATCCGGTCCGATGTCGTGCAACATGACTAACGCCATATATGCATCTCAATTCAACTCAGCTGTACACATACCTCCATACATACCTACAGATCTACACAAATACATATACACATATACACATATATACATGAATCTAGATGTATACCTAGATAAATCATCAACCCGAACTGTACCAATCAACACGACAAAAATATCCCATCTCCTGTGGTAGTGTAGTATTGAAAAGTATCCACTAAGTATCTATGTTTCAGAAATCTTCTCGTTTCTTTCTTCTCCTCTCACCATTTCGATAAGAAACAGATGGATCAATAGATCGATAATCCCAAAGAAAGAAAGAAAGAACCGGGAGGAAGTAAGAACGTGAGCGAGTAATGCATACATACATACATCTCCAAATCCACAAATCCGTGCATCCACAAATCTAGATTCCCAACTTCCCGTCGTACAAACCCATGTTGTGTAACATGGCAATCTCTTCTCTTCCTTCTACCTCATTACCCATTACCCAATCCCATATCACATACAAAAAACACCATCCCATCCATCCATCCATCCATCCACAACCCACAACAAATCCCAAGCATCAACATCTAAGTTCCACCCACCCACCCACCCAGCCAGCCAGCCAGCCAGCTAGTATAGAATTATATATACATATCGATATATGATTTCGTGTACGATTGAAATAAGTAAATTTGCACATCTGATTCTGATTCTGATTCTGATTCTGCTTCTGATTCTGATTGTGATTCTGATTCTGATTGTGATTCTGATATTTATCGCTTATTTGCTGGTGAGGATAGTTTATTATAGTTTATTATAGTGTATTATATTATAGTAAAGCACATCATAGCATAGCATACACATCACGAATCAAATAAAATCTAATCGAAGCAGACTAACCCACTCGCTCCAATTCTCCAATTCTCCATCCATCCATCCATCTATCCATTCCAGCATCGATATACCACAGCACACCACACCACAGCACAGCACAGCACAGCACACCACACCACACCACACCACACCACACCACACCACACCACACCACACCGCAACTCAACCACCCACCCATCCATCCATCCATCCATCCATCTATTAACACAATATAAACAAAAGAAAAAGAGAATTTCTAATCTATCCACCAAGGAATTCGCTAGCTTTCTATACATTTACTACATATAAAAGTATTCACTTCACTTCACCCTCTCTCATTTCACCCTCTCTCATTTCAATCCAATCCAATCCTCAACTTCCAACCTCGGAATACCACCTCGGAATACCACCTCGGAATACCACCTCCTCCCTTCTTCCCTTCCTCTATTTCGCCCCTTTCCCTTTCCCTTCCCCTTCTCCATCCCCCTCCCCTTCTTCAGTTAATCATTCATCATTCATCATTTGTACAAACCACCATACACACATCCTATACGAAGAAGAAATATCCCCCCCCCCCCCGAAAATCAAGTCATATCCCATAGGTAAATCAACCTCAAATCTATTCACAACACATTTCACCAAAACATTTCACCAAGACAAGCAACAGATGTAAAGAAACAAATAAAGGAGAAGAATAAGACTTTTATAAACTCTCAATAAATACTTAAACTTCACAACAAAACAATAATAACCCCGTGTGATATATACATTATGTATAGCATGATAATCATATCCGTGTCCGTGTAGGCTTGCCAAAATACCCTCTAGATCTACCCCTTTAAAGCCTTTTCAACAATTGCCGCCCCGCCACAGTGATATCACGTTGGTCTAGGAAGTGATAACCTAGGATTAGATAGGATGATGTCAAAATATATACCACAACATTTTGCTCATCCCCTTCACTTTCATACCCACGCCCATCTGCCTTTTCTGCCTTTTCCAATCACCAGCCTATCATCCCATACATTATGTGAAGATCTGAAATTCATAAATCGCCTCATATATACTGCCGGTGAACCTTCTGCTGCTCCGCCCCTTTGAACAATGGTGAAAAACAAACTCTTCCCAAAACCTTACTTAAGGATTGTAATTATTCATAACTGCCCAAAAACTATCCTGACCCAAATCTCCTTCAAATTGCCATGGTTCAGGTTGCGCATACAAACTTGCGTCTTGGAAATTTTGATATGGCAAATCATAATTTGCTCCTCCAAGGTTCGTACTTAAATCATTGAATATCAGATCATGCATCGGTTGTAAAGGAGCAATTGAAGAAAGGTCAAAATTGTGTGGCATAATGTTATTAGCTCCTTGAAATTCCCAAGCAGCTGGTATATTGGGATTTGATGAGGTCAAGTTTTGTATTGTGGGAAGATTGTAATGACTTCCATTGACAGAATTTGCCGAAGATATGGTTGAAGGATCGGTCGATGCAGGAGAATTGTACGATTGTGCAGATGTAGAAGTACCAGATCTTACAGCTTGTGAGCTAGCGACTGTTGATGATGGGTTGGATCCCACATCTGATGGAGTGGATGGTTGAGGTTTGTTCGTTCCTAATGCTTTCTTTAAACGAATGTTGATTGCTTTGAGTACACCGGCCGCTGTATTGGCAATTGCATTACGTCCAATCATAGTATGGAATCTCTCCATTGCCCAATCAAAATGTTGTAGAGTATTGTCAAGAAGATCCCTATTTTCGAACGGGTGTAGAATATAAATGGCGGCCGAGAGGATAATAGCGTCAAAGGTATTGAGAACAAGGTTGAACATTTTGTAATGCTTTGTTTGCAGTAAACTGAAATATTCACGCTGCACTCGTAAAATATCCAAACCAGCTTCAAGAGCAGAACGGCGACTTGAAACCGAAAGACAAATATATGGTCTATGAAGAGCCATTGTTGTGAATGCACCACCGTTCTGGAAGATTAATCTGCAAGGTGGAAGCCAGTAACAATCAGGGTGATTATCCCAAGTTGTGTCAGGATTTTCGGCTCTGAAGTAGGGTGGACATAACTCATGAATTTGCTTGATATTAATGTGCATCTTTTGAACCTTCAGTGCATCACTAGGTTGTGGTCCATCTTTCTCAAGGTAATATATATCCCAAAGCGGAGCCATAACTTCAACATACCATAATAGCATTGTCAAAGGTGTGGGCATATCTGTAGGTTTTCGTTCTAGAGGAGGGGTCTTGCGTCGATCTTCAAGAGTCGCGGGTATAGGAGCGTCGATAGGAAAAGGTGGTCTTGGATCACGCATATCAATTGTGGTAGGTCGGCCAAGAACCAATGCCATATGTACGTCCCATAAAGCGAGTACAAGCCAAGTTCTCCGTCGGAGTTGTTGATGCCAAACATGTTCATATCCATCTTCAGGCTTGTGACGTTGAGGTTGATAATTGTCTTTATGCAATTCAATCTCCTGAGCGTCTTTGATGGTTTGGGATAGAGAATGCCAACTCTCAGGCACCATTCCACTATACTTCAAGTACGACGCCCTTACAAAACCGGCCTGAACAGTCACAAGAGTAGTGTTTCGTTTGCCTAATAAGGTCAAAATACTGACTCCCGAATCACTGTAATCAGCCGCAAGATCATCAAATGACATTCCCGCTGCATATTTGAGTGACTCCAAACTTGGATCA